TAGAGGCTGCAAAGGATCTCCTATATAGACGTACCAAAGCCCTCATAGACTATGAGAACTCAAACAAAGCTTTGGATAAGCCCTGGTTAAAAAGCAAAGATGTCAGGTTGGCAGAGGCACACCAGCAGGAATGTTGCCAGAAATTTGAACAGCTTTCTGAATCTGCAAAAGAAGAATTGATCAGTTTCAAACGTAAACGAGTGGCTGCATTTCGGAAGAATCTAATAGAAATGTCTGAACTAGAAATAAAGCATGCCAAGAACAATGTTTCTCTCTTACAAAGCTGTATTGACCTGTTCAAGAACAACTGATCACCTTTATTCTGAATGAAGTAAAGGAAACAAGGAATGTGAAAGCCAGCAGCATTACTTGCACATCAATCATTAGCCATGGAAGATTTATTCAGTTTAAAATGACCTGAATAAAAATATTTTGATTTCTTAAAAATCTTAACATTTAACCATGATGGTTTAAAACTATTTTTATTGCCTTTTACTTGGATATAACTAATCTTTTTCATCATGCATTTAATACCTCAAAATGGACTGTCTAGATATTGGGGTCTCCTGTAATTTGTAGTTTTTAAAAAAGGTATCAGAAATGTGTGCCTTCTAGAAACTGGTATAAGAAATTGCCTGGCACATGGTTTTTTGGTTGGTGTCCCGTGTCTCTAACACCACCACCACCACCCCCACTGAAGTGTCCATGTCTCCACAAATAACATTTTAAGGTAGGACCAGTTCCAGCAAATTACTCAGCTGATATTCCAATCCTTAACCAGGCATTTTTTTCCTCTTCTCTATTTGATAGCCTGGTTCTTTAGTCATCTCAAGCATTTGCACTGTTAACAAAAGCTAGGCAACTCATTTATCTTTGTATACACTTTGCCTGCAGCTCACTTTTTGTAGTTGAGATAAATTAGGTATGAGGTTTTGTGACCTTCTGGTTGGTTTTTGTTTTCTTAAGTATGTAATAAAATAATAAATCATGAAAAAAATTATAAGACGGAATTTGACAATAATTTCCTTATTTGGTAATGACACTTTTCTTACTGGTGATTGACTTTATGCCATTGGGGGTCAAATGCCATAACGTCTGCCCATGGTGTACAGTGTTTGGTGGAGTTCCCACTTTAAGACAGGTTTAGAAGCAGGAGTGGCATCCACTTCCTAAACAACATTCCTCTGGAAACTCTATGAACCTGGAGAAACTATGATAGTGATAGAAAAGTTTCGGGCCTTTGGCTCATAGGGTCATTTTGAGTTGTACTTGACTAGATAGCAATCAGCAATAACAGCAAGTAAAATATAAGTTTGGTTGTTGAGTACCATTTAGTCAGAACTGACCCAAAGCTGACCCTCCTGCGGGTTTTCAGAGAGAGTTAATCGCATTAGAGGAGATTGCTCATCCTTCTCCTGAGGAGCAACTGGTGGCCTGGAATCGCGTGCCTTCAGGATTGTTATGCAACTTCTTGCCATTAGTCTACCAGTGCTCTCTTAACTGTGGTTAGTAAGATCAAATTAATAATAGTAATCACAAAACCAATAATATCAGATATAGTAATATCAAACAAAAAAGTCTGGTTTCTTTATCGTTAAAAAAAAAAAACCCCTTCCAAAGCTAGAATTTTCTTTTTCTTTGAACAACCTGTTACAATTTGATATTATGATTGATGATTCTCTACTTTTCATCAAGATTATTATGAACTCTTGCTGGTAACTTCCATATTCACAATAATGTAGGAACTAAGAAGTTTCTCAGAGTTCTTAAGGTAAAATATATATACTGATTGTAGTCTAAGGTCAAAAAAGTATATAAACTGATAATAATGAGATATGACAACCATAATTTGACTAAACTACAAGCAAGAATATGTCATTGCCATAATAGGACAAGCTCACCAACTAATTAGTAACAAATTGAACAGATGAATTTGGAAGTTCTCCAAGACACAAAAGCAATTCTGATGCTTTATTTCAAAGATAAAGAAGACCATACTTCCTCAACACCTGTGGTAGAGGACAGTAGGGGTTTTCATTCTTGGATAGTACATGTTAAATCTAATCCACAATTATTCTGCTCCATTTTACAGTGAGGAAATGGAAGATTAGGTATCTCAAACAATAACCTTTGCCAGAACTGACTAGTCACCATCACAGATTCAATTGCAAGTGACTTTGTTCTTCTCCATCATTTCTGTCACAGCAATACTATACCTCACTCTGATCCATACATTAGCTTATTAACTAGTATATTTGCCTTTCTATGCCATGGAATCGAAACAAACAATTTATGACAAAAATTTTAATCTTTAACCGTATTTGTTTCTTTCAGTGATGGACCTTACATTAGGAGAAAATAGAGTCCATAATGCTTTGCTTGAAAAGATCAGTTGAAGTGATAGATTGTCAAAAAGGTGTCTCTCAAAATTAGTTATGAAAGGATACTGAAGAAATGGAAAATTAGGGGAGCTCTGGTGGCCTAGTGGCAAGAAGCTGCACTGCAATCCCAGAGGTGCATGGTTCAAATCCACCAGATGCTCTGCCGGGGAAGGAGTAACAATTTCCTCCTGTACCAGTCAGATCTGATTTGACGGTACATGCACAAACACAAATAATAAAATTTTAAAAAAAAGAAATGGAAAAAAATATCTATTTAGTAAAGTGATGTGTAATGTATCAATTCATTAACCTAAAGGTCAGCATTTCAGATCCACTAGTCATTCCACAGAAGAAAGATAAGCAGTCTCTCCCTATAAAAATTCACAGCCTCATGTTTATGGCATTGAAGTCTATGGGGGAGAGAATAGTTTAAAAGTATTATATTTTAGGGCATTATGTTTATCGTAAGAGTACGGAATGAGGGTTGCAGAGTGGATTATATTTGGGGTTGGGGTGGGGTTGGGGGAGGTGCGGGGGGGATTGTGTACCAATGAGGGAGTTTTTCTTTTGCTTTTTAAGGAGAGGAGCAAATGGGGGGGGGGGGGGGGGGGGGAAGAAGGATGCAACAATGAATGAATGGAATTCCAAAATCTCTGTAGATGTTCATTGAAATGAAAAATAAATAAATAAATAAAGGAATGAATGAATAAATAAATAAATAAATAAATTTACAGCCTCAGAAACCAAATTAGAGGTTGACTATAAATCAGAACACCTTGAATTCACTATAATGGCTGTGAATTTGGTTTTATAATTTTATAAATCAATGATTAATCCACTTAATCATGGAGAATAATTTGCCTTATTTCTTGCACCTTGAAAACATACAAATACACATACAAAGACTTGTTTAATCTGAAATAAAAGAAATTCAAGATCAAACTGAATTTCTTATAGTGCTTCTTGATTTCTGCTCCAATATCTTGCAGTAAGACTAAACTGAATTTCTTATAGTGCTTCTTGATTTCTGCTCCAATATCTTTTAATTCTAGTTCTCAATCATGTTCTCAAAAACCACATAAAGGAAGAAAAATTCTAACAAAACAGTATTATAACAAAACACTTCCCAAAGTTATTATACTGTGTGATTTGTTTACCTCTGTTCTACACTAGAAAGTGTCAAAATCATGAATTCCCACTGAGAAGGCAAGATGAATTGATTTTCCTTACTAGTCTCTAGAAGAGGAGTTGAGATGTCAGTAGCAAACTGCCTCTCTCCATCACCAAAGGAAACTAATCAAGGAAAAGTATCTGCTAGTAGCGTATACATTAATCTCCAGCTGGATCATGGGGGTGTTAGGATGTGTAACTAATCGTATCATTGTGACTCATCTCAGTCTGAAATAACATGTTCCAAAATGACATCAGTGACGTGTAAGATGAATGTTAAATGTAAGGGGGGAAATATGATTCTGTTAGAATATCTGCAAGCTCCTGGGTGACACAGTGACAGGTTGCAGTGAATGAAGCTACTGTTTCTCTACAATAATATTTGCCAAAAGCTGTCATCGCTGTGTTACTAAAACTGTCTCAAGTAGTCATCACGGGCCATTTCAGACAAGCAGGTTGCCATAACAACTTAGTTTTCTAAAATGACCTCTGTCAAGAAGTGCTGCTGTTTTCTATGCAGGTCACTTTGGTGCCACATCCAGATGTACAGGGAGAGAGAGAGACTCCACCCTTGTAAGATATTTCAGTACCAGTGTTAATTGAGATCCTTTACAGATGTTTGGGATGTTCCCAAATGAGTTCTTCCAACATTTGACCTATAGAAAGGGAGGTACATTGTGATCTCTTCTTAAACATAAAATGCACATGATGTCTTCAAATTCCAAATTACCAATTAATTATTCCCTTGTAATAATAGGCAAAAAAAAAAATAAATAATGAGAATAGACTAGTTGTCAAGGTTAAACTTGGCATATTCATCGACCTCTGTGGACCACCCAGGCTGGAATTCTCTAAAGTCCTTTTCACCTCTAAAATAGTATGGCTTTTAAAAAGATCATTTATTATAATTATGTATTTATTATTTATTTTCTTATCTCTCTAATAGTGATAAATTGTTAAAAGTTTGTGTTTTTTAAAATATATAAAATGACAAAACTATTCCAGTCATATGCATTTTCAAAGAAAAAGTTACATGCATGTATTATATACTTCAGATGGAATATTTCTTGCCATGAAAGATGAGAACTTACTCTGAATTTTCTGTCAGCAAAAAGAAAGAGAAGCTAATGAACTGTATTTTTATTGTCTAAATTGATTTGTAAATTAATTATGCACATATTTTCTTCCAGAAAAAGGACATTATCCTGGAAATAAGTAATAAGATATTACTAAATGCCTAAATGTTAACTGAAGCATTTTTTAAAAGGAAACTGATATATTCTAAAGAAATAGGATTTGGAAAGAGAAAAGCCATCCTGTGTAAGCAATGCCTAACAGTGAAAGCAACATAGAGAACACTCACGAGTTTTACTTTGTTGCACTTTTTTCCTCTTACAGGGATATATTTGTGTCATACTTCCAATCAACTTCTCTAATTTTGTTTTTCAGAATGACAAATCTCCAGGGCGATCTGCCAGTCGATCAAGTAATATTTCAAAAGTAGGTGAAATATATTAATTTACTTAATTGTTTATTGATTTCCATATTACATGAGGTCAAGTTAATATCTTCGAATACTTAACCTATAATATAATAATTGTTTTCTGTGACCAATAGACAAATGTAACCTGTTAATAATTTTGTTGTTGTTGTTGTTGTTATGTGCCGTCGAGTCGCCTGCGACTCATAGCGACCCTATGTACAAAAGCCCTAAACTCCGCTCTGTCCTGGGCCAATCGCACTGTCTCTGACACTCCCATCCCAATTATCCCAGTCACTGAGTCAATCCACCTCATAGAGGGCCTTCCTCTCCTGTGCCGTCCCTCCACCCTCCCAAGCATGATGTCCCTCTCCAAGGACCGGTCTCTCCTCACTACATGTCCAAAGTATGTTAGACGGAGCCTCAGAATCCTTGCCTCCAAGGAGCCACCCGGTTTAACCCTCTCCAGGACAAATCTATTTGTTTTCCTAGCAGTCCATGGTATTCTCAGTACTCTTCTCCAGCACCACAGCTCAAAGGCATCAGTTCTCCTTCTATCCTCCTTGATCATTATCCAACTCTCTGATGCATAACAGGTCATTGCGAAGACCATGGCCTGTATCAGACGCACCTTAGTCTCCAGAGAGACACCACTGTTCTTCAGCACTTTGGAGAGGTCCCTAACAGCAGACTTTCCCATGGCAATGCGCCTTTTAATTTCCTGGCTGCTGGTGCCAAGACTGTTGACTATGGAGCCAAGCTAACTAAAGCTGTGTACAATCTCAATCTCTTCACCATCCATCCTGATGCTGCCGATTGGTCCAGTGGTGAGAATCTTTGTCTTCTTGACATTGAGCCTCAATCCATATTGTAGGCTGCTGTCCTTGACACTCTGAAGCAGGCGCTTCAGGTCCTCCTCAGTTTCAGCAAGCAGGGTTGTGTCATCCGCATAACGCAGATTGTTGATAAATCGTCCACCAATCCTGACCCCACATTTCTCCTCATAGAGCCCAGCCTCCCGGATAATCTGTTCTGCATATAGGTTGAAAAGGTATGGAGATAGGATGCATCCCTGGCGTACGCCCTTCCCAATTTTGAACCATGCAGTGTTCCCTTTAGCTATTTCAAAGTTTTGCTGTGATTGAAATTTCTCACAAGAAAATGATTGAACTATATTTTTACCTCTTAAGTGTTGTTCGCAAAAGAAAATTTTCTGCTTTCAAAGTGTAATATAAAGTGTTTTTTTCCATCTTATTCCATATACAATAAGGCCAAGAGATACTAAAGTTAAGACTCTATTAGCATTTATTTCCATTAATTCAATTTGGGGTGGGGGGAGTTTGAATCCAAATCTGGTGGGATTTAACTATTCTTCTCACCAGGAGAGATTTCCTAAAATCAATTTAATTAAGACATTAAATTGGATACATTTAGGTCTAGAGTCAGAGGGCAGAAAATCAAAATACTCCCCAGACTAACAATGAATCTAAGCAAGCCTTTAGTCCTATTAAAAGATTATAGTTTGGGGGGGGAAATTAAAAAAATACAGTTTGGATATGATACACGGTATTTTTCCCCTTAGAAAACAAAAATTGTTTTATTACCAAAATTGTGAGCTATTAGTAAAAAATTTAGGATTTAGAACAAGTTTGATGAATTGCCATGTGATTTGGATAGTAAAAATAATTTATAGTCATTTTTCAAAATGGAATGTTATAACTTTCAAAAATATAATTACGATGAAGATTGATTTACTGTGAATACTGTTTTGATTTCAAGGTCTCCCACTTAGACCACTCCAAGGTTTTAGTCTTAGAATTATCTTTAAGCAAGTTCTCAAGATAGCAATAAAAATTACACTGCAGTACCATGTCTGCTTATGTTTTGTTTATGATCTGTTTATGTTTTAAGAGAATGTGTTTTGTATTGTTTCATTTAAAAAAACCAAATTATTTCTATTATTAAATGAAAAATAGCAGTATGCAGATTATCCACATTAACCTAAGGTTATCTCGTGAGCCCAGTACATATTAGTTAATGCCAATATGGTAAATTGGCACTTGTACACACGTTGGTTTGGGTTATAAGACAGAAATTCTGAGCTAAAGAATGTCCTTTGTTTCAATGGATGGTAAGCCCATGCATCTATTGCACTTGACTGGCCATGTATCTATCTTCCAAGGTAGTTAATTATGCAGGCATGTTTGAATATTCATAGACAAGAGAGATCTAGGAAATATTATATCTCAATATTTGATATTAAGCATTTCTAATATAGTACTGAAGAGCAATGGTATCACTCTGGAGACTCAGATGCATCTGATACAGGCTATGGTCTTTGCAATCACTTGTTATGCATCAGAGAGTTGGACAATGACTAGGGAGGATAGAAGGAGAATTGACGCCTTTGAGCTCTGGTGCTGGAGAAGAGTATTGAATGTACCAAGGACTGCTAAGAAACAACCTTTGGACATGTTGTAAGGAGGAACAGGTCCTTGGAGAGAAACATCAAGCTTGAGAGGGTGGAGGGCAGCGCAGGAGGGAAGGGCCCTCTATGAGGTGGATTGATTCAGTGACTGGGGTAATCAGGATGGGTGTGTCAGAGGCAGAGAATCATGGAGATGCATGATAGCCTTAATACAAATTAATCAACATTTTTGTGTGTGTGGATGCACTGTGTACTAAATGTTATATATTTTAATGTTGCATCCACAATTCTCTGTTTTTAAGATTTGGCTTTAATATTCAAAGTTATTTCCAATGAGATCAAGGTGAAAGAAGCCCCCAAATGCATAATATCCTGGGAATTCTTTCAGCTGAACCAGAGCCAAGCATTTCATCTCTGAGCAGATGTTTAATGTTCTGATTTATCAAGATATTAATTTATGTTTACTTATACAAGGGAACAATAATTCACTTGTACCTGCAGACTATATATCTTTAAAGACTAAGTTTGACATGTTGATGAAGTAAAGTAGACTATATAATTAGGAGATTCTTGAAAATTAGGCTGACTAATTTGGACACTGGTGGTAGTAGGGATATTATATCTAATGTTAGATGGATCTTGGCTGAAAGCAGAGAGTACCAGAACAATATCTGTGTTTCATTGACTATGCAAAGGCGTTCGACTGTGTGGATCACAACTAAATGGCTAACTCTGAGAGGAATGGGAATACCAGAACACTTGATAATGGTTATTCAAACTCTATACTTGGACCAGGAGATAGTCATCAGAACAGAGCAAGGAAACATCGCATGGTTCAAAATTGGGAGGAATGTACACCAGGAATGTATCTTGTCTCCATATCTTTTCAATCTGTATGCAGAACAACTTATCTGGGAGGCTGGGCTCTATGAGGAGAGGTGAGGCATCATGACGGGATGAAGATTCACCAACAATCTGTATTAAACAGACGTCTCGACCTGTTCACTGAGACTGAAGAGGACCTGAAGTGCTTGCTGCAGGAGGTCAAGGACTGCAGCCTTCTATATGGATTGAAGCTCAGCATCAAGAAAACCATGATTCTCACTGCTGGGCTGATCAATAGCATCATGATAGTGGTGAAAAGATTTAGATTGTTAGCAGCTTTAGTTTGTTTGGCTCCACAATCAACACTCTTGGCACCAGCAGCCAGGAAATAAAAAGACGTATTTCATTGGGGAAAGTCTGCTGTCAGAGACCTCTCCAAAGTACTGAGGAACCATAATGTCAGTTTGGAGACCAAGATGCACCTGATAGAGACCATCACTCACTATGCATCAGAAAGCTGGACAACGACTAGGGATGATAGAAGGAGAATTGGTGCCTTTGAACTGTGGTGCTGGGGAAGAATATTTAATATACGATAGATGGTTGAATATACTGAACAAGTTCATCCTGGTGAAGGTAAAACTAGGCTGCTACTTGGAGGCTTTTGTGAAGCTTTTCTGATATACTTTGGACATATTGCAAGAAGGGACAAGTCCTTGGAGATGGATTTTATGCTTGAGAGAGTGGAGGGACAGCACAAGGAGAAAGAATTTAAATGATATGAATTAATTCAATGACAGGGATAATGGATTAGGAGTGTAGGAGACAATGTATTGGCATAGAATAATGCAGAGTATATGGCTGTTATACTTAGGGTTGCTATGTGTCACATGTGACTAGATGGCACATAACAAAAGCAACAATAACAACCTGGAGACTTTCATGGAGTCTATACAAATTCTATTCTGAGACTAAAATTGAGTAAGTGGGTGAACATTTATATGGATTCGTAAGTATGATGGTGGAAAATTGATAATTTCTAGCCTCTTCTTATGTCGCGAAGCTTTTTCTCCATATTTACGCATTTTTTAGATGTTAGGTGATATCATGGTTTTATATATGATGATTAGATTACCAACTCTCAAATAGACATTTTTAATGCAAATCTTTACCATCAATTTTAAACTCAGATATTATACTCAAATTTTCAACAAGGAAGATAAAATACATTTGGGGTCAGATTCCCCAGCAGCACTTCCTGAGGTAAAAATTACCTTACAATGATTTAATATGGACAACCTCTCTGGAAAACCTCTAAAGATGTGAGAGAAACAAAACAAGAAAGAACAATAAGTCAAGAAAAGTTCCTCTGGCTCTATAGAATTCATAGTTATATATTAGTCTTCATCTGTCCAGACTTGATACTAGTGAGCTGAATATTCATATTCCCACATTAGCCATCCATTAATTAGAGGAGAATTAGAAACAGGCTCTATAAAGAAGAATGTAACATCAAAATCAAAAGAGGATTAATCAGTAATTCACATTATACAGATAACATAATCTTGCTTGCTGAAAATGAGGACGACTTGAAGTGCTTGCTGCAGAAGACTATATACTTCAATATGGATTCTATCTCAACATCAAGAAAATAATCATTTCACCACTTGACCAACAGGCAACATCATAATAAATGGGGAAAAGATTGAAACTGCAACAACTCAATCTTACTTGGATCCACAATTAACAGTTGGTACCAGCAGTCAG